GTTAAATACACCCAGTTAAAATCAGTTTAAACCAGGGCTGGTAAAGACTAATGTTTTTTTTTTTTTTTAAGAATAAAACGTATTGTGTTTTTTCTTAAATATGTTTTTAATACTTCAAATATGCTTTAAACAGTACTATAAAAAACATATTAAAAACATCAATTAAGTATGTTTTAAACTGTTTAAAACATGTTAAAATGTTTTTTACCAACCCTGGTTTAAACCATAGTAAAAAACTTAAACAGGTTTTAGTTTACTATTCATTATTATTAAAAGGATTATGAAAACATAAATAAAGGTAATATGATTGTAAATCATAAAAAAATAGTTGTTTATTAACTTATTTTTTAATATTTTTAATAGTTTAATGTTTTTCAATACAAAACAATGTGACAATTTCATAAGCTTATATATTTAGAGTAAAATAAAAATAAAGTTTAATTACTAAAATAAAATAGCATCTCGAATATTTGGACTACACTTAAACCTAAATTATACAATGTATGCAATTGATCAACTCTTATAACTTAATAAATCATAATTAATAATACAAAAAAAAAAGGAATTGAATTTAAACTTAAATTTGAAATTGAATTAAAAAATTATAACAATAAGGTATTACAATGTGTAACGTTATAAATGGAATCATTAAACTATTTTTAATTTTTATCACCTACTTCTGACTTCAATAATTTTTAGTTTGCCAAATTAGCTAAATAAATTCAAAGTTATTTGAATAGAACTTGAAATATGTGTTAATTATTAAAAATTAAATTGAAATATATAAAATATCTAGCTCGAGATTGCTAAGCAAAAATTAGTAGTTAGAAAGGTCAAAAAACACAAGCATTTATTGGATTTTTAAAAGTAAATTAGTTTACAACATACATTAAGATTAAACTAGTTTTTTATCTATAAATTAATCGGAAATGTTTCGACTGTACTAAGTCTTCTTTAGACCATTTACAAAATATAATTAAACATTGGAAAGAAAGATACAATATATAAAAAACATAAAATCATATCACACATTGAACATAATACATATAATATTACAAATAAAATTATATAACATTGATAAATCTTTCGTCATTGGATAGCGAGAAAAAGCAAAGATCAAAATTAAAATTATATTATTAAAGTCATCTTCAGAAAATTGAATTGCAAAAACCCAAGTCAAAAAATTGAATCTGTCAAAAACAACCAATACATATTGTAAATTACGATTAAATTAAATAAAATTACAAACTAACAAATATATAAAGATCCTGGATAAGCTATGAATATGTGCTCAAGTATTGAAAACATCATGCAATATCTAACGCAGATAGACAAATTCGATAATCCGTGCGAAACAGAATATATATTTCAATACAATATGTTTTTATTGTAAAGGTCAAGATTGAAATTTTATTTTGAAATTTTTATTTTGAAACCGATTTTAATAGGCAAATTATATGATTCGTTCAAACATTCCGTGTCTTTTTGTTAATTTATGCCATGTGTTTGTGTTCTTTAATCCAAAGCATTTCAGAATTTAATCTTTTATTGTAGTTTGATTCAGAATCTAATACTTTTATGTTATCCCAATCAAATAAGTGATTGTAATTTTTAATGAGTTCAAAAATCACAGAGTGTTTTATAGATGAATTTAATTTTATTAATATGCTTTTTAATTCTTGTTGCTAACTGTCTTTTTGTTTGGCCTACATAAGCTACGCTGCAATCTTTACAATTAATTTTGTATATTACATTGCTTTTAGATTTAATTTCATTAGTATCTTTTTGTACTTTTATAAACCTATTGAATTGGTTTAAACATCTGTTATCTATTGTGATCAACGATTTATTTGCAAGTAATGACTTTATTTGATACATTTTTTATAAAAAGAATAATGAAATATATCTTACGTTTAGGCGTATCTGTACTTATATTTACGTAAGTATTCTTATTTTTTGTAGTCGAATTCTTTATTAAAGAGCTTCTTTAGTCTAATGTTTATCTCTTCAAAAATTAATTTTAATGGATAGCCATTCTCTAAGAGCAGTTTTGTAACAAATTTGAGATCCTCATTCTGGAACACAGAATGAGACAAACCAATTGCTCTATCACTTAGATTATAAATAATTCCAATTATTTGGCATAGCGGATAATTTGAATAAAATGATAAATATCTGTCTGAGAATGTCTTCTTATGGAACTAATTTACATAAATTTTGTCATCCTTAATATTCAGCGAAAGATCTAAAAAATTTAATCTACGATTACGTTCAATTTCAGAAGTGAACTGCAAATGACTATGGAAACTATTAAATATGTTAAATATGTTAAAAACTATTATATATATAAACATGTGAAAAATTATGAAATGTGTTAAAAATAAAAAATATTTATTTACATATCTATAAACTTTTTTGAAAAAATTAGCTCGTTAAGATTTGTAGATAAGTAAGTAAATAAATATTTTTAACTTTTTGTCCTAATTTAAACTCACTTAAAATGAGTAAAATTTAGGAATGCCCGATCGTAAAATTATTGGATACCGGATATCGGATATCTGGACAGAATATAACATTTAATATTATCCGGTCGAATATCCAAGAAGGCAATTTCTTCGAGTAGGATGTTTGGATTCCGTAAAATGTCTTCTAAGAAAAAAACCTATAGAGAAAAGAATTGTAATTTTGTATATAAAATATTACAGCATTATAAATATGCATACTTATTTACAGAATATTTGTAGAATACAAAATAAACAATTTAATGATATAAAATTTCAACCGGATATATTCTCAGATACTAATGATATCCAATTATCTGGTCGAATAGTATAAAAGTGCCCGATAATACCAGATAAGACAGATATTTTTTGGATATCCAGTGCACCCTAGTAAAATTGGATATTCAAATAATAATAATAATACTTATATTCAAATTTTATGTACAAACAATATATACAGTGCCTCAAAAAGGTTACACCTGAATCCTTCGAAAAATATAAGTTTCACAGAAAAGTGTTTCAGATAAAAATTATAGAGTTCAGGAAGATCTATTTATTGATCTTATTAGTTCGACCTTGTGTGGTATCGCCAAAGTCAGATAAAGTTCACATCGATTTTTTTGAATGGAACACTCTTTTGATTTCAGAATCTAATAATTGGTGTCGAGAACTTTTCAAAATACTATAAGAAAATACTTTTTCATTAAATACTTTTTGAGTTATGATGCTTGAAAATTACAGTATCGTCGACATTAGTTATTACTATCAAAGGTATCTGACCGACAGCTAAAATCTTTTAAATATTGTTCGAGATCGTGGCCTAGATAACATTTGTCAAGATCAAGAGCATTGGAGGTTATTCCTTTTATTTTCATTTTTATGTAAAAATTAGTTTTTAATACAAAAATAAAAATAAGAGGAATAATCTTCAGTGGCCTTGATCTTAACAAATGTTATTCAGGACATGATCCTAAACAGCATTCAAGAGGTTTTAGTCGTCGGTTGGACACGTTGGGTAATGTTAATGTCGGCGGTACTGTAACTTCCAAGCATTATAATTAAAAAAGTATTTATGAAAGAAAATTTTCTTATAGTGTTTTGGAAAGCTCTCGATGCCAGCTGTTAAATTCTGGAATCAAAAGTAGGATGTTCTATTCAAATCAATGACCTCACCTTAGTGACGCCACTCAAGGTCAAACTGATAAGATGAGTAAATCTTTGATGAGTAGATTTTTTTGATCTACAACTTTTGTTTGAAACACTTTTCTGTAAAACTGATATTTTCTGAGATATTTAGATGTTCTAACTTTTTTGGGACACCCTGCATAATTGATCTAAAAAACGACTATAATTATTTTACATTTTTTATACATAGAACTGTAAATATAATGATGATGATTATTATTAATATTGTTATTATTAATAATATTACTGATAATATTATTATCATTAATTACATTAATAACATTAATAACTTTACAGAAATTTAATACTCATCATTTGGAATATAAAAATACAGAACAACAATGCTTATAATACTTAAAATAAGTAATTACTATTTTTTATTTTTAAATTAACCAATATTAGATTTCTGTGACGGTAATAATCATGGATAAAAATGGAGCTTCTAACCATAATCATTTTACCATGAAATTATAGTTACAAATGTCAAACACTTTTCTGTCAGAGTAGAATTACGCGGACTTTCAGTTTAAATGTCTGTAATGTGTGTATATATTTTAAATTTAATTATTAATTATTAACGTATAATTAATTAAAAATAATAATCTTTTTTTATTGTATAATATTTTCACAAATGGATATAAATTACTATGTGAAAAACGTAACGCGCACTGGCATAATTAAAGTATTTATTATGCGCGTAGTTTATTAAGCTTTTTCGTTCTTCGGATATGACCAAACTGCAAGAAATGTCTCGGCTCCATGTGTTACCTGAACGTACCGGTATTATGAAAATGCACGGCTGGTGCGATGCCCGATCATAACTTTATCAATAAATATACCTCGCATTTTAGCCGCGCATTTGGACTATAGTAAATCGATTTCCATGCAGCGCATCGATTTACTCTATACGAAATCTCACTGGAAGCTTCAAATTCAGCGGATTTCTTTCGTATTATAAGACGTTGCAGGAAGATATCTGAAGTATTGCTCTCAGACGAATATATTTGGAGACAATAATCGAGAAAAATAAATTATTTGTATGTCAGTAAAATCGCTTATATTGCTTAGATTTTTCTTAGACGTTGAATGTATGTATATTATACAGATTTTTATGAAAATTATTGAAATCTGCTAAATTCGTAAAATAATTTTATTTAGAAGAATTGAATCCAATTATTTGTTTAAATTTGTATATGAATTAAATATAAGTATTTAATTTTTATAATATAAA